TACAGCCTGTGGGTCTGTTTAACCACAGCACGGTCCACAGGTACAACTGGAATGGGCTTGATGAGCTGCAGCGTCCAGAGTTGGACCACTGTGTCCACTCAACTTCTCATTTGTCCTTTGGCTCAGGTTTGACGCTGCCACCTGTTGGTCCCTGACAGAATCACTTAAAGCTGGATTTATTTAAACGCAGTGGCATACACTGTGGTGATTCTGCTGCTGTCAATCACCTTATGTTGGAGCACAGTTTAGGTGGAAAATGATTGAAGAATACTGACATTTAGAAATATTTTGTGCCAACAGTTGAACCTGAAGTGAAGTGCTGTTAAAGCACGGACATGTACAGGAGGTCCTCGACTTACATCAACAATCCATTCGCGCGCCGTGACCTGACTCAGATACTGGGTCACGGACATGTACAGGAGGTCCTCGACTCTACATCAACAATCCATTCGCGGGCCGTGACCATCAGGTGGGTCGCAACAGGTTTTGTTTTTTGTTTGTCCCACATCATGTTTCCCAGGAGTTTACAAATAATGTCTATTGACTTGGGTTGTGAAGGTTTGTGACTTTTGGATCAGTGTTTGGGAAACACTGCTCTAGGAAATAAAAACATCAGAAGAGTCTGACTTAAACCTGGGAGACATAATGAAGGGCATAAAGTTCCCCTCCCAAAAAAACAACACAAAAGGAAGAAAGTGAATGTTGAATATTCGTCTTTGAGAACTAGTTGAGTTTTAACACCGTACAACGGAATGATGGGACAAGACTTTCTTAATAAATTTATAGGATTTATGGAGACTCAACCACGAAACGCCGTAGGTTGAGGGCGTCGTAAACCGAGGACCCCGAAATGATCAGTCTCACTTTAAAGAAAGTGTATTACCTGCTACACCCTGGTTTCTGTTTCTATGGAGGAAATCTGTGTGTCAATGTGTGTATGTGCGCTAGCGGTCGTGTGTGAACGCGTGAGAAAAACAACAGAGAAGCCGACTCCGGTGGCGTCTGTCCAGGGTGACACTATTGGACGTGCTCCTGTGAATTAACATTGCTGTGTAATCACTCTACATTATGGAGGTGGTCAATATCATTGCTCTGCAGGTCACTGGCATGTCAGACTTCCTCCATCAATACGGCCGTCTCTCACACACACACATTCCTCGGAGGCAGCCGTGACTTATATACTCTGAAGTGAGGAAGATAACACTGTGACGTGATCAATAGTACTTTGGTGGCCACCACTCCCTGTCCCCGTGCCCTTAGGATATATATTGTTTGAGGGCAGTAAAAATCCTAATGGATTCACCCTCTCTCTCCCTCTCACTTTATTTCACCTTATCTTTATTACCATCGCTGTCCCTGAGTGCCTGCTGCTGTAAAATATCTGTCTCTCTAAGAGACATTCTTTGCAAAAAGATGTTTCCATCCTCCGAAAAGACGCACCAGAGCTGTGAGTTTATATAACAGTGCAGTATGGGCTATAGATGAATCAGCGTGTGTGTGTGTGTGTGTGTGTGTGTGTGTGTTAGTGTTGGTGAGGGAAAGGGAGGATTGGACCTAAAAGAAAGAGACATGAAGTCAGTCAGAGGAAGACACTGTTCAACAGTAGTGGTGTAGTGGTTTATAGAAGGGCAGCGTCAAACACACCCCGTTCTACTGACCTCATCTCTAGTCACTACGTTTCCAAAAGGCCAGGAAGCATAATTATTCAGTCAGTAATAATAATTTTTTAGGGACAAATGCAGCTGCTACGTCTGGGATGACCAGCAGGAGTCAGTTGTCCTGTTTACTGTTGTAGTCTTAGTGTCTCATTTGTTTCTATTTTTATTTTCTTTGTTAAACACACTTTATTAGTCTTTAAGAGAACATTTGATTGATTGTTCTGTTTGTGATGGTACTTGTGTTTTTGTCAAACCCAGCCTTCAAGCTCTCATGTATAAATATATATTTATACATGTATATATGTGGTTTTGCTAATTGTTTTTTTTAAAAGAAAAGTCACATTTACAAAACAGTGGTCCTTCGCAAAAAAATGCGAAGTAAAGACATGATAATTATTATATTATTTACGTATATGTTAACCCTTTACGAGGCATCACAGGGTGTGAAATATAACAAAAACTACTATTATTTTTCTGTTTTTTTAATACTTATTTTATCACGTAAATAATGAAAATATTGTGATGCACTGATGGTGCGACAGCCGAACCGTGGTACAGCGAGGGACGACTGTAAAGCATGTTAAATATTGTTTAGCAATAGCTCATCTTCTCTATAACTGCAAATAACGACTCTGTTCTCCATTGAAGTTCAACTCTGTTTTTCCTCCCAGACCAGGAAGTTGACGTTCAGTGACAGTTTCACATTATCTTTCCAGACCAATTCTTCTTTATGAAATGTAGACATATCAACGTGTGTGTCACACCATGATGGCTCTAAACTACTAAACTATTGTATATGTTGAAATACTAAACTCTACCTGCCTCAGATCGCTGCTTCAAACTCCAGTCCTCCTGAGTTAAGTGTTATGGTTCAGGCCATAGGTATAAATGTGGGTCAAAACAATTCATTGATTTAAGCATTCATTCATCTTCTACTGCAATACCTACTCCTTATACTGTTGCACACACACACACACACACTCACACCTATGGTCAGGTTAGAACTACGGTCACCGACTGTATTTGTCCGGGGGTCAGATATTTTCCGGACACACACCTTGGGGATAAGAATCACATTTTTGTCTTGGAATCCAGTTGCTGGCCAGATTGGGTCGCTCGATGGACCCGATTTGGCCTGTGGGCCGCCAGTGGATGATAACTGGTTTAGAGTGTCCAGTTAACCTAATGCCCAGAGGAGCCTTAGGTTAAGTACCTAAACTAATGAGTACCCAGAGGGAACCTTAGCACTCACAGGAAGAACTTCCTCACGGTCCTCACAGACAGACCATCAGTTAACACATCAGTGACGGCCTTGATGTAAGGCTGAGCACTAACCACTCCTCCACTGGTTGGCCTGTATCTAAGCAACTAAACGGTGTCATTTGAACAGCAGGGGGTGTGATCCTCTCCATCGGAACCAGTAAGTCCTGGGTCAGATCCCAGGTGCTGCCAGATAATCTGACCTTGTAAAACCAGGACATAAAAACACACTGATGTCTACTTGGGTTAAACTGAGAAAAAAAACAAAAACAAAAAACAAACCCAAACAACCCTGGATATGTTTTCTTTGAGGTGCAAAATGAATGAGGTTAATTTGTCGTGTTGACTCAGAGTTAGGGAGCGAGTCACAGTCTGAGTCAGGCCTACAGCAGACACACACCTAGAATCATTAATATAACAACAATAACGATGTAGGTGATAATTACTCAGGTAAACAGAAATACTTTTTGGATGTGTTCTACCTTCTCTGTGGGAGTCGGTTTCATACACGCAGCCTGTCAATGCACAGATGTTGCTGTTAGCGGCTTTTTTTTCTGCCAGTCGTTTGTGTCACTATTGAATAGAATTCTGATGTTATTATGCAGCGCAGCAGCAGCTTGATAATGACTGCTGGACGGCTGACCGCACCGAGGAGGCACAGTCAGAACAGTGGGTTGATGCTGTTGGATTCTGAACAACATATATGTATGTAATATAATATATATCATATATGACATATAGATGATATGTATTTATAAATATACTGTATATATATTTATATATATACAGTTTATGTAAAATATATATTACACATAAATACATGTATGCATATATATATACGTATATATGTGTGTGTCTCTTTTTAAAATGATTTTTGAATAATAATAATAATTATTATTATTTTCTAATAATTTTCTTTTTTTGGTGAAATGTAAGGACTATTCCTCAAGTTAAATATTAGACACATTCATAGTATTTTGCACCTGAGCGGTACAGTAGAGTCACTTCTTTGCATCTGAGTGGGTGTGGAATCATGGGAGATTCAAGATAGATTTCTTAGCTGTGTTTTAGGTTGAATTGTAAAATGACAGTATATGATATAATATCATTTTTGTTCATTTAAATCAATAAAGTTCAGCCTTAACCTCTAAACCTTAACAACATTTTTTAGATTTTCTGGCTCTAACTCCTTCCATTCTGTCTGCTGTGGCCTGGCTCTGCTCTTTGCCTGTAACTGCACTGTTGGAGCTAAAGCTTGGTCTGCTGTCATGGCAACAGGCTTTTTTAAAAAATTAACCTGATACCATAAAGTGAGAGTGCAGGAGCAATCAGAAAACTGGTTTCTGCTAGAAGCATTTCAGTTTAGATTACGTTACTTTGTGTGTATCTACTTTGCATCTGATAGATTAACCTTAGTTAAATTACTGCCACCTACTGGGCTGGAGTGTGCATGCATAGCGTTACCAGTAATGTTAATGGAGTGTGCATGCATAGCGTTACCAGTATACCAGAGGTTAAGGTACTTAATAAAAACATTACAGTCGCAGCTTGGGTTAAAAGAATAATTATGCTTTGTTTTTTATGTTTTTATGTGTAACGATTACGATTGATTATAGAAGTATGATCGCAGTTCTGATTCACAGCAACACTGTTTAACTGACACTATAGTGTTGAATCAGAAAATATTATTTGATTATTTTAGAAGTAGATTTTATTTTGATTTTATGTACCTGTGCACTTTTTGTATTCTGGGCCAAAATATATTTAAAAAATTTACAAAACATTAATTTTTCCAATTGTATGAGGTTAGAGTGCCTACGTTTTGTGACATTAAATTATATAAAGGGTGACTTCTTTGTCATCAAACACATTCATTTTCTAATAAAAAAGACACAAACTCACATGTATTATTATTTAATAATAATAATAATAATAATAATAAGCCTAAACCTCCACCAGCAGCTAAAAGAAGAGGGTGACGGTGATGATAATGATTAGGTTGCGGATGATGATGATGATGATGATCAAGCTGCTGCAGCTACCGATGATGCTGATGTTGATGATGGTGATGATGATGATGATGGTGATGATGGTGATGATGATGATGATGATGATGATCCTACACACTGTAGGATCTGTAGGTCCACGTTTACAGCCAGTGTCACATTTGTCAGTTTTACAAATGATGAGTAAAGGAGTGTCGGCTGAAAACACGTGACCGAGCCGCTCCTTCCCACTGAAGAGTCAGGCTGTCAAACCCCCGACCACTGCGCACCCCAAAGCCTCGGGAACACGGGTGTGTACGTGTGCGTTCCGACCGTGTGCCTTTAAATGGCGTGTTCTGGCGCTGAGTAGAGGGCGGACCCGAGTGGCGTGCGTGTGCGCGCGCCTCCCCGTGTGCATCTGCGTGCGTGTATTTGTGTTTGTGTGTGTCAAAGTGTGTGCGTATTTGCGCGCCCGGGGCTGTGCGCCTCTCGCTTGCAGCCGCTGCAAGTCGCACGGGAGCGACCAGCGGCTTTTGTGCGTATGATGCGCCGTGGTCGACGCACCTGTGCGCACAATAAACCCAGCCCGGTACCGACTGGTTCCCCCCTCCCGCCACTGCCACCCAACCCCCTCCACCGTCCCCGCTCCTCCGCTTCGAACCAACATCAGCGCCAGCACCGGGAGCACCTGGGAAAACGCACCTTTTTGGATTTAAAAGACAACAACTAAAGTGCGCCGCCTGTCTGGACTTTAACTGCTGGATTCTTTACAGCTGGTGGTCTGTGGAACTCAGGTCAGTGGGCGACGTGTTTCCTCTCCAACCTGTTCACGTAGTGGGCTAAAATACTCCGAATTAAACGTGGCTCGTTTTATTGCTAAATAAAAATAAAAAAAATAAAAAAATCTAGAGCTCCAGAATTTAGAGGAAATATTGCGACGGAGGGAAGCTCGTTTACGGCCGCCGTCGGTGCCTCGGATTTATGGAAACTTTTCACCTTTTAAAAGACTTTGCCTCCTGTCGGTGAGTAAGTGGACTAAATGAAGACAGGTGCGAGTCTCCTTGAAGGAACAGCGGAATGTGTGTGATTATCTGCCGTGTTGGCCTCTGAATCCCCCCGGTGTGAGGAGTTACTGTGACAGGCAGGTGTAGTGTTACACACGTCCTCTCCGTCTCACCGGATTCATCTTTTCACCTTAATACGCGTTCATAATTATATCGAACATTAATTAAAAAAAGCGTAATTATTAATCTCGCATATACAGTAATGCAGCAGTGAAACGAGAAGAGCATCCTTTAAAAAAAACCGTTCCTTTAAACGCGGCCTTCCTCAGATCCTTCAGCGGCTTTTTTAGGCTGATGAATTAAAGATGGGGTGAACGCCAGGTGTCCGGTGTCCGTGCATTGTTCTCGTCTGCAGACTCTCGTTAAAAAAAAAAAAAAAAGAAAAGAAAAGAAGAGCCAAACACACCGCAGGTGCGTCGCACACGCACGTCCCCGTCCGCCCTGTAAACAGCCTTAATGCGCTCTTTAAATATACATGCTGCGTTCGATGTAAGACGAGCCCGCGCTGCTCATGACATGACCTTCTGTGGTCAGGACGGTGGGCTCGAACCCTCACATTCCTCCATTATCTGTTCTCCGTTTGTACACAGGCCCGCCCGGCGAAAGGGATAAAAATCCACCCGCGATTTATCGCAGATTTACCGCGTCAATTAAACCACGATTTTTTCCCTCCCCATGTTAACGTCATTTTAACGCTTAAGGTTAAAAATAAATGCAGCCTACACACGGTGGGCATTATTATCTGCCGAACATAACAACATGAATTAAAAAATAATATATATTTTAAACCGCCATCTTGGATTATGTTTCTATAAAACAGTTTTTTTGTGAGGAAAAAAAAAGGGGTAATTGATTTCGATCAGTTCGACTCCCCAGAGGATTTGATGGCGTCAGGGAGGTTTGCACAAATGTGTGTGTGTGTGTGTGTGTGTGTTTTTTAACCCGCTGCACCTCAGGCTGTACGGTTTATATGCACAACTTTGTCTCTATTTTCACCTTTATCACCAGTCTGCAGCCCGGGAAGCTACAGTGTCAGACCAGGATTTATACAGTCTGCAGCCCGGGAAGCTACAGTGTGGTCCTGCATTGCAGACCAGGATTTATTTTCTTTATCCTCAACAACGCGGTCTAAATGCGAAGATATGTGTATATATATATGTATATATATATTTCTTTGCATTTTGTCATTAAATTTGCTACAGTTTTGTGTTATTCTTATAAACAACCACCTCCAGTGTGGTGTCGATGACACCGGGCCTTTAGTGCAGTGCACCACGGTGCTATGCAAAGACAAGTGAAGGCATCCAGGCCTCAGTCAGGAGGCTACGCCTCTGCCCGTATCTCCCTGCATGTTCTTGGAAACATTCATTTTCGAACCACTGCACATTCTTTGTGGTCGTGCTCAGGCTGCAGGATGACAGATTGTTATTAATCGCTGCAGAAGACATTTGGATGTGAGGACTTAATAGGATTAGAAGTTTCTTGGGCGTTCCTTGCGTTTGTGATTGGGAAAATAAAATCATGTCGTGGATTCTCATAAAAAGAAAATAATAATTAAAACATTAAAAAAAGGGGAAAAAAATATCCAAGGCGTTAGGAATGGGTGTGACCAGGCAGCAGCTGAATGCGTCTCTGTCGTTGTTTCCCCTCTGCACCGGGCCCACACATCAGTCCACAGAAATGTTCCAGCATCACTAGACATTCATTAGATTTGAGTCTCGTTTTTAAATATCTATGTTTTTCCGTCTGACAACCCGAACAACATTGCAGTCTCTCTCTGTCTAAACCCCGCTGCTGCATCAGTGAAATGAAGTTGACCAGACTGGATTAGACCTGATTATAATCCACGATTTAAACGCCCTGATGTTGATCCACCCGAGTCACTTCAGGGTGTGAAGGGACCTGCTTTATCCTCGAGAAGAAGAAGAAAAGAAGAAAGCCCGTCACCATCATATTTAATTTCCCTGCTCCCTCCACCACCCATCATTTCTTGACCGTGTTTTGAAAGCCTGGGTGGGGGCAGTCACTCGAGGATGGAGGCTGTTTTTGGATAATTTGGCTGTCCTGCTTTTTTTGTGCTCGTGCTTGGCAGCCGATTAACTGCGCTGACAAATCAGGCGCAAAAGCCAAGGGCTCTCAAGGTAACCCCAATCTGGACGAGGGAGTCGAACGTTACGGTTTTTTTCCTTTTTTTTTTTTTTTCTTTGGTGAGGAGATTTTTCCGTTCCTTCAATGCATTTATTTTGCAGCGTATTCAGTAGATTCTCATTTATTTATTTTCGCAAAATGTACAAATATGTAGCGCAGTCAGATTTTTTTAATTAAATATCTGATGCATTTAATTAATATTTTACATATAATTAAATTTACAATAAATGCTTTTTGTGAAGTGTTAGAAGTAAATACTGAAGACATCACTGAGGCCTTAAATACATCTAAATACGACCGCTGTTCCCGAGGCAAAGAAGTGTAAAAAAAATAGAAAAGTAAAAATAAAAGATCACGGAAATCAATGATTAAAGGGCGGAAAAATCTCAGTGTCTTATCAGTGTGAGGAGGTGCCGTGTTACATAAACCACTGGTGGCTGAGAGAGAGAGGGAGAGAGAGGGAGAGAGAGGAGGTAAAGCATATGTGGGTGTGTTCGCTCGAGTAGTGTGTGTAGTGCGTTGCATACAAGTTTGTGTACAACTGGTGAAGAAGTGTGTGTTTGTCGGAATGTCGACAGTGTTGTCGGTGGACATGTGTTTCTAATGACGTGTGTGTGTGTGTGTGTGTCCGTGACTTGTAATTGGCCGTGGACAGAGTGCGTGGATGAGATGTAGAGATGCCAGCAGTCTGTGTGTGTGTGTGTTTGGTGTGTGTGTGTGTGTGTGTGTGTGTGTGTGTGAAGGCGTTAGCGGGGTGCTGCCTGCTCTCTAACTGGGTGATGTAATGCCATGAAGGGTGCTGCAGCAGAAGCTCAGAGCCCAGTGAAGGCGTGTCCTGCCTGCAGAGTAGCAGGATGACAACACGGTGCCCACGCTCACACACACAGACGAACTAGTGCCAAAAACAAAAAAACAAAAAAACACCTCCCACCCACGAACACCCAACACTTTCATCCTCGTACCTGTGTAATAGTACCTTATTTATATGCCTCATTCTCAGTCTACATAAAATGAAAAACAATAATAATCACCATTTGTGCACAGGTTCCATTGGTTCAGACCGAACAGTGAGGCTGCAGTGACCGGTCCACGAGTAAATTAATCATCAGCCATTTTTGATCCATCAGTCAACTCTGTATTTTAAGAGATTATTGCGACATGGGAAATATACGTATGTGTTTATGTATTTTTCTAATCCAAGTGTCTATATGTGTGGACAGACGATCTCTCTGTCCAGATTATACACAGGCTGGTGTTTTGCGCTGTTAAAACGAAAACATTTGACTTTTTTCCCCCATCTGTTTAAACTGGATTAATTACTATGGGCCAATATTTCCTCCTCAGTGAATAAAAACGAACAAGCTGACGTCAGTGGTTGGAGTTGTTTACACGGCGTCAGTTGGTCACATTCCAACGGTGGCACCGAGACCAGGTTGAGAAAAATAGGTTAGCCCAACGGTACAAACGTCTTTGGGATCAAAGTTATTCCACGGACAAGAACCGGTCCAGTATTAAATTGATTCAATGCATTTATTAACGTAGTTTTATTCCCTTTTTCATTTATAACCGCTTTTAGATAAACGTTTCTCTTAAAGGGCGTTTTACCGAATTATCCCCGCCTAAAAATATAACAACCACGCATTTGGCGCAGGATAAAGACATTTATGAAGGCTGATAAATAAATGTCGGAATATTTACCCATTCTGAAACAAGTGAATTACAAACTTAATGTATTTGTGCCCATTTATATCTAAAATAGTAACATTGAGCAAAAGAAAAGAATCCGATAACAAACAGTTGTTTCTTGTCATTTTCAGACGGTGATTTAATTGGCTGTAGTCATCCTGTGACGACCACATGGTTGGACTTATTTTACACCCGGGTACGATGTAAATATGTGTCTATGTGACGTCACAACAGTCTGGATGAACATGATCTATTTCTGCATTTATGTTTCTTTGGAGGAGGGGCGGCGGCGGCACGGTGAGAGTTGGCCATGGTTCCACTCAGCCACTCAACATGAAGAGGTGTTGCGTCAGGATTGGTTTCCGGCGTCAGATTGTGCCAAATCACTACGCGGATTGCCGCTGTGATTTAGCACTAAGGGAAAAATCCGGAAGACATTTGACCATTTTAAGAAGCCACCAAATCATTGATATACATGTTCATATATGGAATTTATTTGTCTCCACAAAGGGGTTAAAACAATTTGACACCAAATTGTTTACACCTACTTACAGAGACTATTCTGTTATCGACCGTAAAGTAATATCGGCCCAGACGATATCGGCCCGACATGGGTAGCGGGTGTCGTGTACCGGGTCTGTTTATGGCTGACTTTGAAGTGTGTGTTTGCAACGTGACGAGTACACGAGCAGTGCGGGGAAGGGCAATTTTGCGAGATGCATGAGTGGGAGTGGATGGAGTGGAACATCCCTCCTTCTGTCTCCATCATCCCTCCCTCCTCTCCCCTGTCTTACCCTACGCGTTTTTTTGTCCTTGCTTCCACTGTCGTACCACTGCAGCACTGCAGTTCTCCACGAGTCTATTGTTAAATGTAAATGACTGTCATATTTCCTGGA